GAGAAGTGTAGAGGAGAGAGAGAGATTTTGGGAAATGTCGAGTGAATGCGTGGGGAGTTTTGAATCAAGTGTGAGAGTAATGGTGGTTGGGGATTTCAATGCTAAAGTGGGTAAAAATGTTATGGAAGGAGTAGTAGGTAAATTTGGGGTGCCAGGGGTAAATGTAAATGGGGAGCCTTTAATTGAGATATGTGTAGAAAGAAATTTGGTAATAAGTAATACATATTTTATGAAAAAGAGGATAAATAAATATACAAGGTAATGATGTAGCACGTAATGAAAGTAGTTTATTAGATTATGTATTGGTGGATAAAAGTTGATGGGTAGGCTCCAGGATGTACATGTTTATAGAGGGGCAACTGATATATCGGATCATTATTTAGTTTTAGCTACAGTTAGAGTAAGAGGTAGATGGGAAAAGAGGAAGGTGGCAACAACAAGTAAGAGGGAGGTGAAAGTGTATAAACTAAGGGAGGAGGAAGTTCGGGTGAGATATAAGCGACTATTGGCAGAAAGGTGGGCTAGTGCAAAGATGAGTAGTGGGAGGGTTGAAGAGGGTTGGAATAGTTTTAAAAATGCAGTATTAGAATGTGGGGCAGAAGTTTGTGGTTATAGGAGGGTGGGGGCAGGAGGAAAGAGGAGTGATTGGTGGAATGATGAAGTAAAGGGTGTGATAAAAGAGAAAAAGGTAGCTTATGAGAGGTTTTTACAAAGCAGAAGTGTTATAAGAAGAGCAGAGTATATGGAGAGTAAAAGAAAGGTAAAGAGAGTGGTGAGAGAGTGCAAAAGGAGAGCAGATGATAGAGTGGGAGGAGCACTGTCAAGAAATTTTAATGAAAATAAGAAAAAATTTTGGAGTGAGTTAAACAAGTTAAGAAAGCCTAGGGAAAATATGGATTTGTCAGTTAAAAACAGAGTAGGGGAGTAGTAGATGGGGAGATGGAGGTATTGGGTAGATGGCGAGAATATTTGAGGAACTTTAAATGTTAAGGAAGAAACAGAGGCAGTAATTTCATGCACTGGTCAGGGACTATACCATCTTTTAGGAGTGAAGAAGAGCAGAATGTAAGTGTGGGGGGGAGGTACGTGAGGCATTACGTAAAATGAAAGGGGGTAAAGCAGCTGGAATTGATGGGATCATAGACAGAAATGTTAAAAGCAGGGGGGATATAGTGTTGGAGTGGTTGGTACTTTTGTTTAATAAATGTATGAAAGAGGGGAAGGTACCTAGGGATTGGCAGAGAGCATGTATAGTCCCTTTATATAAAGGGAAAGGGGACAAAAGAGACTGTAAAAATTATAGAGGAATAAGCTTACTGAGTATACCAGGAAAAGTGTACAGTAGGGTTATAATTGAAAGAATTAGAGGTAAGACAGAATGTAGGATTGCGGATGAGCAAGGAGGTTTTAGAGTGGGTAGGGGATGTGTAATCAGGTGTTTACATTGAAGCATATATGTGAACAGTATTTAGATAAAGATAGGGAAGTTTTTATTGCATTTATGGATTTAGAAAAGGCATACGATAGAGTGGATAGAGGAGCAATGTGGCAGATGTTGCAAGTATAGGAATAGGTGGTAAGTTATTAAATGCTGTAAAGAGTTTTTATGAGGATAGTGAGGCTCAGGTTAGGTGTGGTAGAAGAGAGGGAGACTACTTCCCGGTAAAAGTAGGTCTTAGACAGGATGTGTAATGTCACCATGGTTGTTTAATATATTTATAGATGGGGTTGTAAAGGAAGTAAATGCTAGGGTGTTTGGGAGAGGGGTGGGATTAAATTATGGGAATCAAATTCAAAATGGGAATTGACACAGTTACTTTTTGCTGATGATAACTGTGCTTATGGGAGATTCTAAAGAAAAATGCAAAGGTTAGTGGATGAGTTTGGGAAATGCGTGTAAAGGTAGAAAGTTGAAAGTGAACATAGAAAAGAGTAAGGTGATGAGGGTGTCAAATGATTTGGATAAAGAAAAATTGGATATCAAATTGGGGAGGAGGAGTATGGAAGAAGTGAATGTTTTCAGATACTTGGGAGTTGACGTGTCGGCGGATGGATTTATGAAGGATGAGGTTAATCATAGAATTGATGAGGGAAAAAAGGTGAGTGGGCTTTGAGGTATATGTGGAGTCAAAAAACTTTTATCTATGGAGGCAAAGAATGGTATGTATGAAAGTATAGTAGTACCAACACTCTTATATGGATGTGAAGCTTGGGTGGTAAATGCAGCAGCGAGGAGACGGTTGGAGGCAGTGGAGATGTCCTGTTTAAGGGCAATGTGTGGTGTAAATATTATGCAGAAAATTCGGAGTGTGGAAATTAGGAGAAGGTGTGGAGTTAATAAAAGTATTAGTCAGAGGGCAGAGGAGGGGTTGTTGAGGTGGTTTGGTCATTTAGAGAGAATGGATCAAAGTAGAATGACATGGAAAGCATATAAATCTATAGGGGAAGGAAGGCGGGTAGGGGTCGTCCTCGAAAGGGTTGGAGAGAGGGGTAAAGGAGGTTTTGTGGGTAAGGGGCTTGGACTTCCAGCAAGCGTGCGTGAGCGTGTTAGATAGGAGTGAATGGAGACGAATGGTACTTGGGACCTGACGATCTGTTGGAGTGTGAGCAGGGTAATATTTAGTGAAGGGATTCAGGGAAACCGGTTATTTTCATATAGTCGGACTTGAGTCCTGGAAATGGGAAGTACAATGCCTGCACTTTAAAGGAGGGGTTTGGGATATTGGCAGTTTGGAGGGATGTGTTGTGTATCTTTATATGTGTATGCTTCTAGACTGTTGTATTCTGAGCACCTCTGCAAAAAGTGATAATGTGTGAGTGTGGTGAAAGTGTTGAATGATGATGAAAGTATTTTCTTTTTGGGGATTTTCTTTCTTTTTTGGGTCACCCTGCCTCGGTGGGAGACGGCCGACTTGTTGAAAATATATATATATATATATATATATATATATATATATATATATATATATATATATATATATATTTTTTTTTTTTTTTAACAAGTCGGCCGTCTCTCTATAACGATGTCATTTCTCTCCTTTTCCCTGGGAGAATGCTGTTCCTCTCATGAGAAAGAGGAATAGTAAATAAAATGATAAACTGCATAAGAAAAAAGAATATAAATACTGTATTGCATTCACAGATCAAAAGTAGGCAAAAAAATAATGAAGAGAATCAAGTTTTGAGGGGCTTATGAGTGATGTTAGAAAATTTTATATTCAAGCATCACAGCAGTTTTACTTTCACAACCATAAGGAAAGTGATAGGGTGGATAACTAAAACCTTCAAAATGAGAGATGCCATGTCAATGATGAGTCACATGTTCTCTCTAGACTGGAATACTGTCGTACACTAACAGCCCCTTTGAAGGCAAGCAAAATCAAAGATCTGGAGAATGTACAGAAAATATTTACTGTCTGCATAAATTTAATCTAGTCCTTTAATTACTGGGAATTCCTGAAGTCCCTTGAATTAAATATACTACCTGGAATGTAGGCAAGAAAATTTCATCATAATCCTTGGCTATCCTCATGAAGAGGGACTTGCCAAAATCCCTGTAACAAGTCTAAGGAATAGAAAACTTTATCATCACCTATACCACATAATAAGTCATCAATTGTTGTGCAATATCACGTAAATAAATCAGCACTTATTTGCACATTTAGTTGCTTCAAAAATTTTTATGTATTCATGTAAATTTAACTGCACAGATGATTAGACTCAGAGTTGCTCTGCCTGACTCTGCTTCATATTACATGATGGTGTATCATATATGACTTACTTTAACTGTATCTACAATATGTTTCTACTGCACATTTATTATTCATGTCATGTGCAAGTTCTGGATTTTAACAGATGTGACTTATGTACACCAAGTTACCCCTTGCCTGTTAAGTACTTTTTACCCTTTGTATATCAATTGATCTTCCCTGATTCCAACTATGATTCACTAAGATTTATTATGCTATGATTTACGAGTATTATGTGTTTTTCTTGTACAACATTCTTTTTTCAATGTATAGAATCAATGCCCGATATTCATCTTTGAAGTGTCAGCCAGTCCGTTTATACTATATGAATGAGCTTTATATGCCTGCATGACGAGGATGTCCTGTAAGTAGAATAATCCAAGCAGTCAATGGTATGAATGTAGTATGTTAGATGTTATCATGTCATGGCTTAGAAAGGTAAAGGTCTCTGTTGCTGACCTTTAGTTTCAAACCCTGGCTTGCCTGCAGGGCATGGGCAGTCAACATGTAAATGCCAAGCTGAAAGGATACACTGTCAGAAGACATGACCTTCCTAGCTAATAAATACCATGCAGAGCAACTATGTATATTTCTCCAAAATGCACTCATGTTTCAAACCCCAAACCCACAAACACTAGTAGGCCTAGTTAGGGACAGGGCCACAGACCCTCCAGAATTACAGAATTATCTATAGGTAAACTACAGATGGAATATGAGATTAGAATATCATCTTCTTTCTTTGAACAAACCAGCCGTATCCCACCAAGGCAGGGTGGCCCAAAAAAAAAAAAAAAAAAAGTTTCTCTTTTCAAATTTAGTAATTTATACAGGAGAAGGGGTTACTAGCCCCTTGCTCCCGGCATTTTAGTCGTCTCTTACAACACGCATGGCTTACGGAGGAAGAATTCTGTTCCACTTCCCCATGGAGATAAGAGGAAATAAACAAGAACAAGAATTAGAAAGAAAATAGCAGAAAAACCCAGAGGGGTGTGTATATATATGCTTGTACATGTATGTGTAGTGTGAGCTAAGCGTAAGTAGAAGTAGCAAGATGTACCTGAAATCTTGTATGTTCATGAGACAAAAAAAGACACCAGCAATCCTACCATCATGTAAAACAATTACAGGCTTTTGTTTTACACTCACTTGGCAGGACGGTAGTACCTCCCTGAGCGGTTGCTGTCTACCAACCTACTACCTAGAAGATTAGAATATGTAATGAAAAATTTCAAAGGCACAGTGTTTTCTTACCTTATCAATGTACTGGATATAGCAGCCTTCATATCATTAAGCAATTTGTGAGCTCTCTTAGTGTGTTTGGCTATCAGGGATGAATAAGCCTTCTGGTCATCTGTTGCTAGTCCATTATTTTCCATCTCCTCTGTCACCACTTGCTCCATTGCTGAAGTTACCCGTTCATCACGAATGATCATCTATTGATAAAAATCATATGTGAATGTGCAGCATATTAAAAATTTTAACTTTAGTATTTTTTAACATATTAGAGAAAATTACAGTAAATTTATGCAATATCAACCTTTCTTTTTTTTTAACACTTTGGCATTTTCCACCAAGGAAGGATAACCCAAAAAATAAAAAACACTTTCACCATCATAAATTCAAATGACTGTCTTGCCAGAGGTGTGCAATATTACATTTCAGATCCCCCTCCAAACTGCAAAATATCTCCACCCCTTTTTCAGAGTGAAGGCGCTGTACCTCCCACCTCTAGGACTAAGATTGGCTAACAGGTTTCCCAGAATCCCTTCACAAATGTTACCTTGCTCCACAGCTTGTCAAGTCCCAAAAACCATTTACCTCTACTCATTCCTATCTAACATGATTAGACACACATGATGGACATCTAAGCCTCTTTCACACAAACCTTCTTTTACCCCCTCCCTCCAACCTGTCCCACTGCAGCATCAGAGAAGCAGAAGGGAAAGGGGAATAGGGAAAGATTAGATAGGAAAGAGATAAGGTGGTGAGGTACAATCTTGAGTAACTGGCTGTTGTTGTGCAACCTGCCCTCTTGAAGACAACATCGATTTTTACATACGGATTTAATCAAATTTCTCAATCAGCAGTACATTATTTTAGTTTTGCCTGTCTTCTATAAGCAACATTTAATAAATTAAAACATAACATAATGCCAATAAATGTAAATAAATATAAAGGTAATAGAATCCTGCAGTCCTAGCACAAAACACTCACCAAGTGGAAAATCTGACCCAAATAGCCACAGTTTCATTCCAGTGTCACAGTTGTAGGTGCCCTGTGGCCTGGTGGATAAAGCTCTTGCTTCACACAATGAGGGTCTGGGTTTGATTCCCAGTGCGGGTAGAAACATTCAGCGTGTTTCTTTACACCAGTTGTCTATGTTTCCCATCAGTAAACTGGGTACCTGGGTGTTAGTCAGCTGGTGTGGGTCGCATCCTGGGACAAAACTGACCTAATTTGCCTGAAATGCTCTGCATAACCAGCAGCTTTCTATATAGTAGTACAGTGGTACCTCGAGTTTCGAACAGCTCCCAACTCGAACAATTACATAAGTGTATTTTTGTAAGTGCTTTTGTAGGTGTACTTTTGGGAGTCTGAAACGGACTAATCTAATTTACATTATTCCTTATGGGAACAAATTCATTCGGTATCGGCACTCGAACAGCCTTCTGGAACAAATTATGTCCGTAACTCAAGGTACCACTGTGTGTCATTGATGTCAGCTAGACCTGTATACCTTGAACATGTACTTGTAGAAACAAAGATATTATATAGTATTATTATTATTACATTATTATTAACATTCTTAGCCAGTGATTTACTGATGTTGATTATGAGGTGGGCTGTGTTTTATCAAATTCAATAGTCTGGTCCCACCAAATACATGTAGATATTATACAAGAAATGAAACGATACTAAATACGTAACCCTTGGTTATGTTCTCTGGAGACAAACTTAAATATTACTATAGCCTCTAAGCATTTTCTTCTCTGTCTTCCTCTTATATAACTAACTTGGCATTTTTTTCAAGCCATGACTTGGGTGTGTATATCACAGTGGGTTGTATATGCTCTTTCTGTGTTGTGTGTACAAGGTAATGCATATTGCTACACCCACAAGGAATGGTTAGCAGCTGAATAGTTTCCTGATGATGTCCTAAGAGTTTCAGTAGTCCTACTATGTAACCCCAATGCTGATTAACATACTGTGTGAGATGGTGGTGGCAGTTACCTGTCAGAAAGATGATCCTTTTATCAGGATTGCTATGTTATGTGGTGTAAGAATTAAAGCTTTGTATCACTCCTCTGCATCTCCTGATGAGATGTTGGGGGATACCTGTGATATACATGTGCTATATACCTTCGACCCATTTTTAATTTTTCTACCCTTGTAGCCCAGCCTGAGGCCTTATTGTGTTCTCTAAATTATAGGTCATCTAACATTATTATTTCCATTTTTTGACATGTTTCTTTCGTTCAATGAGGTGGTACTCCTGTCTTTTGTATCCAGCGCTTCCTTTGAGTTGATTCTTTCCATTTCTGAGCAGCTGGAATGTGTTAGTATTGAACCTCAATTCTGTATATATTTGTGAGCAATGCTTACATTCTTCATGGAACTCTTGACTGCAAATTCTGTGTACCTTAATAAGTAAACCATATGGATACCTGTTTACCTTTTTTTTTTTTGTGGTGCAAATACAGTATGTAGTAATATATATATTAGGTCAACTTTGTGGTAGGTCTGTTAACCTTGAATTTAACTTTTAAGAAATATTTGTCTTTATGTCCTTGACACAACAACAGTGTGTATTTAATAACTTTCTGGCATTCCTGGCATAAAGATGCAGTTTCATAGGAAGAGGGAGCTGCTATTGCCGGAAAGCAGACATCACCAGAAAGCTGAACACCATATTTTTCCATTTATAAATGTATATAAATGCCAGACAACAAGCTTACACTAACTTATATTAAGTTAGTAATAGAATTAGGCATTAAAAACACAATAAAAAGTAAAATACATGCACAGTATATTCATTACTTACCTTAAAATATTTGTAGTCTTATTAATGTAAGGCTAGAGGTGAGTAGTACTTATTTGTAGGAAGTCAGGTGTAGGTAGCCCTGGGTCCCCGTCCCAAACTTAATATATGATATTTAAAGCAGCCCAGAGAGATAAAATACACATACAGTACACTCATTATTTACCTTAAAATGTGTAGTCTTAATGTTGGATGAGAGGTGAGTAGTATTTATTTGTAGGAAGTCAGTGTAGGTAGCCGGCAGGTGTAGCTCACCTGGGCTATACCTACTGGCTACCTACACTGCAGCCCAGAGCCATATTGTTACGATTTACATACCTTGTTCACTGAATATAATCATTTCTAACAACTACCTTTAGATGCCATCATAAACAAAGGCAGAAGTAATGAATGATTCATGCCGAGAATTGTAAACAAAAGAGGGAGTGACTAGGCCAAATGCAGATTCATACACGTTTTCTTTGGTGCTGGACCAGAGAAAACGCAATGTTTTTCCCTCCGCCCAGCATATAAACACAGCATGTTTATATGCTATGTAACGTGTTTTTTATGTAATTTTGAAGAAAATATCACAGATGGATTACTGAAAATGTCTATATTAATGTAAAATAAGACATTTAATGTGCCCAAGTGATTATTATTAGTATTACGTAATGTTTTTCCTCCCCTCGGCAACCACACCTCCATTGCATATAAACATAGCATGTTTATATGCTATGGAACAAGTTTCTTATATAATTTTGAAGAAAATATCATAGATGGATTAATGAAAATGTCTATATTGATGTAAAATAAGACATTTAATGTGCCTAAGTGATTATTATTACGTGCTATTAATATTAGTATAGTGTTAAGACTAGAGGGACACTCTTAGTACCTGCATGCCAGCACAATAACTTTAAAACACTTGAACTTTTGGAAAGTTTCCAGACATAATAGAGATGTGCTCATGAAGAATGTAAACAAACCGGGTGGAGTGCACCGTATCACAAAGACAGATTGCCATATAGCGAGTTTTGGTCATAATTTGAAATCGCCGTAGCGGAATGTTGTAAGGCGAAACGCCCTAAAGCGGGACCCTACTGTATAGTGAAAATATGTAATATCAATGAAAAGACAAGAGAAGAATTGATTACTATATCATATTTGTAAGTATTGTAATTTATATTTATGACTACAGTATATTATGTCAGCTTACCAGATAACAAGGCAAAAGCATAAGAGCTTTACTTTACAAATGACTTGTGTAGTGATTTAATTCACGACTTTATCGACAGCTCGTCACACTGTATGTCCAATAACCAATTACAGTACTTGATTCATGCATAAATTTCACCATCTCCACTCTACAATAATGGTATGTCATAGGTTTCCACAGCTAGTCTATCGAAAGTCATCTTACCTTGTTTGGTATATTCGGATAATTGAATCTGGTACGAAGGTTCAAACAGTGGAAGACATAGCAGCATTTTCGAGTTAGATAGTACCGGTCAGAGTTGCTAGTAGATACATGAAGAAGATTTTGAAGACCCAGGTTGGTGGTGGTTTCATCAATAAGACCATTCTGAGAGCAGAGTTTCAGATACTGTTAACACCAATATTTTAAGGTTACTGTACATAAACAAATCCTGCAATGTCACTGCCAGATAGATAAGGTAAAAAAAAGTGTAAACAATTATTACAAGTATGGTAAAAGATTTATAATATTCCTTCACATAAAAGCTTTGAAAACACAAGAGAGTCAATAAATAATGTAGCTTTCCTTTAGTTAAAGGACTGAAGCTCAGCTTCAATCCTATAATTAAAACTGGATAAACTAGATTATGGTATAATGAATAGGATGAATGAAGCCCTAGTATAGTATGCTTAATGGGTAATATTTTAGTGAAAAACTGTAGCAATGTTGGCTAGTTGTATTGAGAACAGCAAGCAGTTATCTACATTACAACGGGAGAAAAAAGAAATATACAGAAGATTGAGCCTCCATCATTTCAGGCAATGAAAGACCCACATGGGTTTAGCACTTCACATAAATATAATTATAATTATGGGTGGAAAAAATGTTGAAATGGGCACAGATGATTGAATGTGTGGAATCAGCATTTATGATATACAGAATCCAGTGTGACCATTGGAAGTCATGGGTGTTGACATCTATGAGGATAAACTTTATCCATTATACAGTGCACAATATATTAATGTCTTCAACCAGCAGAGAAGGCATAGGTAAGGGCAAAGTAAAGGTACAGGTACAAAGGTTAAGTTCAAGGTAAAAGTAGATTTGGATTATTATTATATTTATGGGAAGCACTAAATCTGTAGGGGTTATACAGTGCCTAGGAAACACTGGACAACACCCAAAATGCTTCTGAGACCAGAGTAGCAATTTCCAACTAATTTTAGGTCACTGATAATGAATATCATGGTTAAAATTGTTTGTTAGCTCTACTTTTCAACATACATCTACGTGTTACAACAGGTTCCAGCAGGCTTGCGGCAGTATGTTTCTTACCACACTCACAGTCTCACTGCCCTTCATTACTGTTCCTGCAGTCATAGAAGGTGGTTGAGATGTGCAAGTTTATATTCTGAAGTGTATGGTACGTGGTTTTCTTAGTCAAACACTTTTTAAACTTATAAGTATTTACTGAGCAAGCTACTGATATGCATGTGAGGCATATTATATTAATTTTATTTTCCTACTGAATGATATAAATACTTCTGCTTAGCTATCTTGCTCTGTATTATAATGATAAATTAATGAATAAATTTTCTGTTTATTTTCTAATTGTTTGTTTTCTTCCTTCAGATGCCTAGTACTTGTGTGAATAGGGCAGACACTTGCTACATTTGTGGCGAGGTGACCCTTTGCATCACAGAAGTGCCGTATAACTGCTATGGTTAGAAAGGCATATCACCTATACAGTGGACCCTCGACCAACGATATTAATCCGTTCCTGAGAGCTCATCGTTAATCAAAATTATTGTTAGTCGAGTTAATTTTCCCCATAAGAAATAATGGAAATAAAATTAATCCGTTCCTGACACCCCAAAGTATTGAAAAAAAAAATTTTACATGAAATATTAATTTTAATACACACAAACTGAAGAAGACATGCACAGTTACATGACACTTACCTTTATTGAAGATCTGGTGATCATTGATGGGATGGGAGGAGGGGAGAGTGTTGATGGTGTTAGTGTTTAGAAGGGGAATCCCCTTCCATTAGGACTTGAGGTGGCAAGTCCTTTTCCGGGGTTACTTCCCTTCTTCTTTTAATGCCACTAGGACCAGCTTGAGAGTCGCTGGACCTCTGTCGCACAACATATCTGTCCATAGAGGCCTGTACCTCCCTTTCCTTTATGACATTCCTAAAGTGTTTCACAACATTGTCAGTGTACAGGTTGCCAACACGGCTTGCAGTAGCAATGTCAGGGTGATTTTCATCAAAAAAGGTTTGCACTTTAAGCCACACTGCACACATTTCCTTAATCTTTGAAGTAGGCAACTTCTTCAATTTCTCTATCCCCTCCTCCGAAGCAATTTCCTCAGGTGTGGCCTCTTGCTGTTGAAGATGATCTAGCAGCTCATCAGTGGTTAGTTCTTCATTGTCCTCCTCCACCAACTCTTCCACATCCTCCCCACTAACCTCCAACCCCAAGGACTTCCCCAATGCCACAATGGATTCCTCAACTGGCATAGGATTCCCAGGGTTAGCCTCAAACCCTTTAAAATCCCTTTTGTCTACACATTCTGGCCAAGTTTTTTCCAAGCAGAGTTCAAGGTCCTCTTAGTCACTTCCTCCCAAGCCTTACCTATATGTTTACACAATTGAGGATGCTAAAGTGATCTCTCCAAAACTCTCTTAGAATCAATCGAGTTTCTGAGGTCACTACAAAGCACCTTTCAAACATAGCTTTTGTGTAGTTTCTTGAAGTTTGAAATGACCTGCTGGTCCATGGGCTGCAGGAGAGGAGTGGTATTAGGAGACAAAAACTTCACCTTAATGAAGCTCATGTCCGCAGAAAGTCGCTCTGCCAAGTCTGAAGGATGACCAGGAGCATTGTCTAATACCAGGAGGCACTTAAAATCCAATTTATTTTCCAGGAGGTAATTTTTCACAGTGGGGGCAAATGCATGGTGTAACCAGTCATAGAAAAAGTCCCTAGTGACCCATGCCTTACTGTTTGCCCTCCACAGCACACACAAATTAGCCCTGAGGACATTGTTTTTCCTGAACACTTTGGGAGTTTCAGTGATACACCAATAAAGGCTTCACTTTGCAATCACCACTAGCATTGGCACACATCAACAGAATAAGCCTGTCTTTCATATTCTTATGTCCTGGGAGTGCCTTTTCCTCCTGAGTAATAGGTCCTGCTTGGCATTTTCTTCCAAAACAGGCCTGTTTTGTTACAATTAAACACTTGTTCAGGTTTCAGTCCTTCACTCTCTATGTACTCCTTGAATTCCTGCACATATTTTTCAGCCGCTTTGTGGTCCGAACTGGCAGCCTCACCATGCCTTATCACACTATGTATGCCACTACGATTCTTAAATCTCTCAAACCAACCTTTGCTGGCCTTAAATTCACTCACATCACCACTAGTTGCTGGCATTTTTTTAATTAAATCGTCATGCAACTTCCTAGCCTTTTCACATATGATGCTATCTCCTGCTATCTGTTTTTCGTTTATCCACATCAATAACAGTCTCTCAACATCTTCTATCTCTTGCGATCTCAGTTTCGAAAACATAGTTGCACCTTTGGCAAGAACAGCTTCCTTGATTGCCGTTTTCTTGCCCACAATAGTAGCGATGGTTAATTGGGGTTTTGTGTACAACCTGGCCAGCTCGGAAACATGCACTCCACTTTCATACTTAGCAATGATCTCTTTCTTCATATCCATAGTAATTCTCACCCTTTTTGCTGTAGGGTTGGCACTAGAAGCTTTCTTGGGGCCCATGGTGACTTATTTTGCAGGTGCAATCACTACAAACGCTGTGATAATATGAAATGTTCCGATTGTATGTTTGGATGGGACCGCGGTGGCTGGCTGGCTTGTAAACACTGGCACCCACGGGACAAGTGAGGCGCGCTCAGGCCACAAATGGATGCATCTCGAACAGAATGAATAGCATTGGTCAGGTTTTTTAGCGCTAGTCGAGGCAAAATTTTTGTGTTAACCCTTTCAGGGTCCAAGGCCCAAATCTGGAGTCACGCACCAGTGTCCAAGAATTTTCAAAAAAAAAAATTTATTTTTTCTTATGAAATCGTAGAGAATCTTTTTGTGAAGGTAATAAAACAAAAAGTACGAAATTTGGTGGAAAATTGACGAAATTATGCTCTCGCGAATTTTGATGTGTCAGCGATATTTACGAATCGGCGATTTTGCCGACTTTGACTCCCATTTTAGGCCAATTACATTATTCCAATCAACCAAATTCTTAGCTATTTCACTAGTATTACTTCTATTCTATCGATTGAGCACAAGAAATCGCCAAGTCAACTGTTTCAACTACAAAATAAAGTGATCAGAAATTGTTAATTTGGCCAATTTAACACAAAGTTCAAAATATTCCAATTTCAAAATAGGGTCCAGAATAAACAATGTAGGCTTTCCTAGCACTAAACTAACATTTCCTCTGTTCATTAGTTATGTTTTGAGGCTTTACAAATAAATTCCATTTTGATTTTTTATTCACATAATGAATTTTTATTCACACCAAAAAATAGAAGATTTACTGTTATTCAATACTGTAATAATTGTATAAATATCATCACCATATTTGTGAATGTATATTAGACCCACCAGCTGATGTGTATTAGACGTGTGAGGTCGTTTGTTTACTCTTGAATATCGGCAAAAATTTAACATTTCCGCTACTTTGAGCTCAGTTTCAAGCCATTTCCAGTGCTAAAACCAATCAAAATCATCTCTATTTCTGTAATATGTCTTCCATTCTATCAAATGAGACCAAGAAATCGCAAATACAACTATAAAAAACATACGAAAAAACACTGCAAAGTTGCTGTTTTAATCGAAAAATCATGATTTAATTTTTTTTCTCTCATTATACACAGTGTGCTGCAGGATCTGTTTTATGTGGTGCACACATACCACATAGATGTATTCTCTCATATCTAGGCCCAAATGTACCACTCACAGTTTATCAGAGTGAGCTGAGCTCATGGCGTAGATCTACGGTTTGGACACTCACCGTAAAGCCGTAGATCTACGGGACGGACCCTGAAAGGGTTAAAATGTATCTATCGCTAGTCGGATTTAATTAGACGATGCCAACGTTGGTCGAGGGTCCACTGTATTTTGGAGGCAAGACTGGTGACCAGAATAAGAATTGGGCTCCAAACTTATGCTGCAATAATTGTGCTACTAACCTTCGCCAATAGTTGAACAGGAAGAAAAAAGGAATGCCTTTTGCTGTACCAATGATATGGCAGGAGCCAACAGACCATACCAACAAATGTTATTTCTGCATGGTACCTCCAGTACAAAAGGGCTTGTCAAAGAAAAAATGGGGGTTCATTGAATATCCAAACA